TATTATTTTATTTTTTTGAATTTAATATGATTGTTGAGTGTCTATTATATGTAAATTAGACAATTACACTATCATGTACCTTTTCATTTACATATATTTTCAATCTATTATCCATTTCTCATGGATTTCACAAATCTTTGAGTTCCCAAAAGATTAAGATTTTGTTTCATATTATTCTTTTTTGTCTAAATATAGTATATAATGTATTCATTAACATATATCTTATTCACATTATGTTTTTTTCCATATGTATTCGGTTTAGAGTGTGAAACTTTATTATGTGTATTTTTTTTGTTTCACAAACACGTAAAAAGTGTTTACATTGTGAACCGATTACATATGAAACAAACACAATGTGAGATATATGTATTTTAATCAATATTCTAAATCTCAGTCTTAGATGGAAAAAAAATCATATAAAATAACACATGATACACAAGTTTTCAAGGTTTTTACAATTTCAGAAGTTCTCAAAAAAAAATGTGTGTGTGTATATATATGCAAATTGAGAAAATCAATTGAGTGTGATATACGTAAGATTTAAGAATTATGAATAAGTTGTACCAAATGTTTGATCATGAAAAAAAAAATATGAGTAGATTAGAGTAAACAACATGTTCAAGGTTAGAAGAATATATTTTAATGCACCAAAGCATTAACCTGATTAACCCAACTAACTTGTACAGTTTGGATTGGGTTGGTTGCAATTTGGTTTAAGTTAGAGATTTTTCAAATCAGAGCATTAAATTGGTTTGTCCAAAGTCTTCAACCTAGTCATCAAACTCATGAGCATTCCTGATTAAATGTATAAGTTACACTTTGAATCTTAATTTATATTTTACACCTTTCAAAAATTTTATGTATCTAATTTACTAGAAGGATATTCGTGCTATGCATCGAGACATATTTCCATTTCAATGTTTCGTTTTATTTTTTATCCATATCGATATAATACGATTTGATATGGTTTTGAAAAAAAGCGATAATGTTTCTACTTTTGAATAAAATATAAATTTGAAAATATCATATAAAATTTGCAAAAAATATATCAATATTAATATCAAATTAACTATTTAAAAGTTTTTGTTTGTGTATTTTTTTTTATTATAGTTTAATTTAATGTAACGAAGTAACTTAATTTAGGTTTAATAATAT